AAAAAAAAAAGAATGCTTGACCTCATGGGCTTCCGGTGAACGCGTTCCAGGGGATCCTAGAGGGCCTCCGAAGAAACAAATAGTTTGCTTATTAACCCCCTCAAAAAAAGTGGGTGGTGTCAATCCACCCAGCAGCACTGCGGAAGAAAGACCTGGCGATCTACTTCCTCCGGAAAAACTGCGCAGCCGCTCTACTCTGTTACATAGTGGTTTGTGGCCTGCTCTGGTCAGAGGTAACTGCTTTTTCTCTCCGTCCCCCCACCCCCCACCCCTAGGGCCTGGGATGACGTAGCAAGAACGGCTTTTAACCTTGCCAGTGTGAGTCCACCCACAGCCGCCCGTGAACCTTGGGCACCACCCAGGAACTTCACGCATCTCCCAGAGACCAGAATTCTTTCCACATCTTCTCAAAACCCCAGGGCGCGGATTCCTGTCCTTGGCTCCTGTCGTCTCAACCCAGAAAGCCAAACCCACTGCCGTCAAGTCGCTGGGGACTCATAGCGACCCTATATTAGGATTTCTGAGACGGCCAATCTGTATGGGAGCAGACAGACAGCCCCCCCCCCCCCTCTCTCCAGCACAGCCTGCTGCAAATGATGAGCCGGAACCACATTTCCCCAAAGCCTCAGTCATGGGACTACATCTCCCACAAACCCCTGATTCACCAAGGTGCTACGCCCTGCAGCCAGGAGAGCAGTTAATTGCGTCTTTCCCAGACCTGCCCCCTCCAATTCCATTCCAACTGCATAATCATCATGACACCTCAGAGCCAGAGTCCAGGAACCCTCTCCCCCGAGAAACGTGCCTCGGTTTCTCCAATGAGACACCCCTTCACCACCACCACCCGCCAAGCACCCGCCCTCCCCCGGATCCCTCCCCTGCGCACCCATTGCGCAGGGCTGTGCGCTGCGCAGTTGGCGACGCGCGGCCAGGCCACGGCTGCGCGCGGAGTGCAGCGCCTAGGGCCCCCGCTGGGGGGCGGGGGTGAGCCGCGCTGGGCTGGGGGACGGCTAGGGTGCCCAGGTGGTTCGTTGCTGAGGTTGCGTTGTGGTGCGCAGCTCCGGCCCAGCCTCACCCAGCGCGGGACGCGTCGCAGGTGCCCACGAACCATGGCGACGTCCGCGCCGAGGGTGGGACTCTGTGCTTCTGGGTGTGTCTGCAGCTCGGGGTGCTCTGGGGTGGGGTGGGGCTCCCCGAGACGCCGGCCGCTTGCCACGTGATGTGTGTCCTCCGTCTTGCTGTGTCCGTGTCTGTGCCTGACGGGTTCCAGGCCCAGCGCTGCCACTTCCTGCTGCTTGTCCTTGGGCAGGACCCTCTGTTGGCTCCTCCGTGCAATGGGCGTAATGTTCGTGCCCTACCTCCTAGAGGGTTGTAGAGAGGAGGAAAAGTGTGTGTAAAGGCCCTAACCGTAGGACCAGCTCGTGAGAATAAATAAATTAGGTAAAAATATGATCATGTATCTTTTCTATGAGATGGGCGCCTAGGGTCGTGCAGAGTGTCTGTGTAGACGCCTAGAGAATGTGGGTGTTGTCTGTGTGTATCTTTGTATGGGGTGTGCCTGGCTGACTCTTGGTGTGTGGTATGTGGGTCTGTGGGTGTTCATGTAGGTGCTGTGTGACTGCGGCCAGGCGCGGCGTCTTTGTAGCCATGTGTGTGCCCGTGAGTGTTCAGGTCTGGAGTGTGTGTACATTTTTGTGTCCGTATCCTCGGTGTGTGTGCGTGTGTTGTGTCTGTGTATGTTCCTGCACGATGCGTGCGTGTCTGTGTCCTATGTGTGTCCCTGCGCGGTGTCTCTGCGGTATGTTTGTAGATGATGCATAGCTGCATGTATGTGTCTATCTGATGTGAGTGCTTGTGTGTCTCTGTGTATGTTGTGTCTGTGACTAGCTGTGTCTCTGATGCGTGCCCCTGTGTGGTGTTTCTGTGTGTACTTCTGTGCACGATTTGTGTGGCTGTGCTCATGTATGTTGTATGTGGGCCCGTATTATCACAGGAGTTGTGTGTGTCCACATGTACCTGGGGACATCATGTGTGTCTGTGTGTGTCCATGTGAGGGATGTGCGCCTCTTTGGTGTGTCTTATGTCTATGTACATGGATGTATTGAATAGGTTCATATGTGATGTGTCAAAGTGTTATATGTGTGTCTGTGGTTGGATATGTTTCAGCACAAGAGAAGCGGTGTGTATTTTCGTGCTGTGTGTGTTATGTGTGTGCTAGCATGCATGATGTGTGGTTCTGTGTCTCAGTACAAGTGAAGCAGTGTGAATCTGTGTAATGGATTGTGTGTCTGTGCAGCCACACGTGGGATGTGTGGTTCAACATGTAGTGGTACAGAGGAAGCTGTGTATCTGTGTATGCTGTGTGCTCTCTGGATATTCACCTGTGTGATATGTGTGGTTTTCTGTTTCCATACCAATGAAGCTGTATCTGTGTGGTGTGTGTGTGTGTACCCATGTGTGTGACGTGTGTCTGTGATAGTGTGTGACTTGTGGTTCTGTGTCTGCCTACGAGTGAAACTGTGAGGTGTGTGTGCTATGTGTGTGAGATGTCTGTGTGCATGTGTGATTCTGTGACTCAGTACAAGCTGCATGTATCTGCATGATGGGTGTTCACATGTGTGTTGTGTGCTTGTGTGTTCACGCGTGTGACATGTCTGTCTGCCTGTGATGCTATGTGGGAGTTCTTTGTTGCCCACTTGGAACGCCGGTGTGTGCCCATGTGCCTTGGCGTGCCACAGTGATGGCAAGCTTGCTGGGGGGACGTGGGTATTTACCTTTGCCTGTGGTGTGTGCTGGGCTTTGCGCTTCGTGGAGTTCCTGCGAGACGCGGTCCATCTGTGCTGGGGGCCGGCCTGCCAGTGCATCCCCAATGCGGGCCGTCCCTGCGTCTTTGTGTGTGACGCGCTACGCGTCCCCGTCTGCCTGTGGCTGTCCACCTTTGTATATGAGGAGCCTTTCTATGAGGGTCCCTGGGACGTGTGTCAGCTGTGTGTGCGAGTGTGTCAGCTGCATCTTAGCGTGTGGCACACGTGTCCAAACCGGTGGCCTGTCACTGCCGTGTCCGGGCCAGACACTGTAGGCCCCGCGGCCCCCTTCCCTCCCGGTCTGCCGGTCCCTGTCTCTCCTCCTTCCCTTTCCCCCTCCCTCCTGGCAACAGCCAATGCTACCCTGGAGCCAGTTTCCATGACGACGCTCCATCCTCCCTCCTCCCACCCCTCCCTCTGACAGGCTCTCTTCTTCCCCAATCCCGGCTGCCCTCGGGGGCGGGGCTCTCGTTCTCTGCCCCCCACCCCATCTTACCCTCTCCCCCCCCACCCCAGCAACCCCGGTTCCCAAGCTCCTCTCCTCTGTCCGCCTCTCAGTCCCTTCATCTGTCTGTCCCTGCAGAGAGGGGGAGGGGGGTACCTGAAACAGTAAGCAACCCCTCCCTCCCCCTGTCCTGCGTCTCCTGCCCCTCTCCTGGGCTGGGGGGAGGCCAGGGTCGCGCGGGTCCCCATGGCTGGGGGCTGAGGGCCCGCCCCCCCTCCTCCCCAGCCGCTACCTCCTCCACCTCCCTTCCATCCTCGCCAAGATGCCTGTCCCCGGCGCCTTCATCCTCCTCGCGGCCGTCTCTGCCTCCGGCTGCCTAGCGTCCCCAGCCCACCCTGGTGAGTCTGTCGGGCCATCCGTCTGTCTGGCGGTCCGCATCCCCAGCGCGGTCTGTGTGCGGGGCTCGGCTCCATCACTGTTTGTGCGTCCTCCCGCAGACGCGCGAGGCCTGGGGAGCTGCGGGCACGGGCCGCTGTCAGCAGGGCCTGTGGGAGGAGGTTGGGGGGCGGCGGGGAGGGGGTGCGCTTAGGCAACGTGTGTGTGTGTGTGTGTGTGTGTGTGTGTGTGTGTGTGTGTGCAGGAACCGGGGACGTGCAGGCAAGGCTGGGGGCAGAGGAGAGAGCACTCTGTTTAAGGGGGACCCGGCACAGGAGGCTGGCTTTGGATTTGGGGGCAGCCCAGGGCTTGCGGAGTTCCCGTCGCAGGGGCTGGAACTGCAAGTGTGGTCAAGGCATCCCCTAAAGGGGCAGGCCCCTACCTCCTCAGCTTGGGGAGGGGGTCCCACCAAAGGGCAAGGATCTCCCAGCCTACAGTTGGGGGTTCATCGTGTTCCCCAAATCAGGGGTGATGAGGCTGTCCGTGGAAGCATAAATTCTGGGATCTCCAGGCCCCTTTCCCCAGTCTTCACCAGAATGTACCTGTGCCTAAACTGAAAAGGCGAGGGAGTCCAAGCTCGGGGCAGAGAAGGGGGAGACCCCACCCCCAACCCAAGCACCTGGGAAGGACCCCAAACTACAGCTCCCATGATGCCGCGGGGCCATCCGGCTCCTCTGCCAAGAGGACCTTGGTAGCAAAGCATTGTGGGAGTTGTAGTTAAATGCTGGCCAGGTGGGCAGGGCAAGGAGCTGGAGCCGGGGACCGAGTTTGGAGCCGCAACCCCAGTCTAGTCCTGTGCCCACAGATGGATTTGCCGGGCTGAGCCGGGCCCCTCTGGCTCCCCCATACGCCGTGGTTCTCATTTCCTGCTCTGGCCTGTTGGCCTTCATCTTCCTCCTCCTCACCTGTCTGTGCTGTAAACGGGGCGATGTCGGCTTCAAGGTGAGGTGTACGGGGGTGGTAGATGCAAGGTGGGGAGGAAGACCCCAGCCGACCCCTTCCCCCGCAACCCCGGGTGGCAGGTGTGGAGTGGGGTAAGGGGAGGGTGGAGTGGGGGGAGAGAAGTCCTAGATCCGGAAACACCCTAGGAGCTTCAAGTTAGGGAGACACTCCGTGTCTTGGATGGAAATTGGCCAGGAGCCGGGAAGACGGTGAGGAGAGACTTAACGGGAAAGACACGATGGGGATGGCGGGTCTCTCAGCCCTGTCCTCTCCCGCCCTTCACCCCGCACGGCCCCAGGAATTTGAGAACCCGGAGGGGGAGGACTGCTCCGGGGAGTACACGCCGCCTGCGGAGGAGACCTCCTCCTCGCAGTCTCTGCCTGATGTCTACATTCTCCCGCTGGCCGAGGTCTCCCTGCCCATGCCCGCCCCGCAGCCTTCACATTCAGGTACAGCCCCAGCCCGGGGCAGCCAGGGCACTAGGGAGCCAGAGAACCTCTTGGGGAGGGTGCCAAGCCGTTGCCACAGAGCAGACCCTGATTCAGGGCGACCCCCGGTGTATCACAGGGGTCTTGTGCACCTCACTAGACCTCCAGGCACCTCTGGGTAGACCCAAACAGCCAACCTTTCCTAGCGGCCAAGCGTTTAAGGGTGCATTGCTTACTGCAAATCCAGACTTGGGGACGCTCAAGGGGAGGTGCAACTAGTGGTGAGGTCAGCCTGGATCTCAATTTTGCCGGCAGCCAATGGGAGTCTGAAATCATACCACAGACGCTTGGGACGCCAATTGGATGCTAGGATCTTGTGGGCAGCCAATGAGGGAGGTGGAAATCTGGCTTCAGACTGCCTGGGGGAGGCCAATGGGAAGCCTTAGATCGCGTTGTGGCCTATTGGGGGCAACCAATGGAAAGCTACTGGTGTCCAGCATCCTGCGGGATGAGGGCGGGGGGATGTTGGCACTGGAGAGGGGCGAGAGGCTCAGTGGCCTCCCCTTCTCACTCCCTCTTCAGACATGACCACCCCCCTGGGCCTCAGCCGCCAGCACCTTAGCTACCTACAGGAGATTGGAAACGGCTGGTTTGGGAAGGTGAGGGGTGCGCAAGGGGCGCGGGGGTGTCCCTGCAATCCGGGGCTGCGCTCCTGTTTTGTGTCCATCGCCCTCGCTGTCTGTCACCACTTCTCATTGGTCCTTCCGCTCCTCCCCCTGCCCAGCCATCCCGTGCACCTCGGCCCACCTCTCACCCGCCCGCCCCACCCCCCACATCTGTCTATCAGCGCTTCCCTGCTCACTCCATCGGCCACTGCGCCTGGCCACCCGGTTCTCCGCGCGTCCGTTTGTCCATCCATCCATCCATCCCTCCGTCCATCGGACTCTGGGCCCGTGAGTCTCACCCACCCCACCCCCGTCCCATGGGTGGTGGGATAGGAAGGGTGGGTAACAGGTGGGGCCGCTGGGAAGTGAGCGGTGCAGGCATAGCTGATCCCGGGGCTGAGGCTGATAAGACGGCGCGGCGTGACTTCCGGGTCCCTCTGGGCCAGGTGATCCTGGGAGAGATTTTCTCCGACTACACCCCAGCCCAGGTGGTGGTGAAGGAGCTCCGAGCCAGCGCGGGGCCCTTGGAGCAGCGCAAGTTCATCTCGGAGGCCCAGCCATACAGGTAGGTACTAGGGACTACCGTGCGCCCCCTGGTGATTACTTTTGGGAGTGCGCGGTCAGGTGTCTGAACCTTGTTGGTCCTCCTGTGAGAGCCAGGGATCCCAGGTAAGAGAGACAGCATGGTGGCAGAGTGAACAGGTGTCAACCTTGTTGTCTGTCCTCCTGTGAGAGCCAGGGATTCCAGGTAAGAGACAGCATGGTGGCAGAGTGAACTTGGAGACTGAACTGGTGGCCTGCCCTCACAGTCACTCAGAACCTCGGTATCTTCATCTGGAAAAGTGAGGTCACAGAACCTGTGCTGTAGGGGCAGCCGAGAGGCTGAGATTCATGGAAACCAATGTAAACAGTGGCTTCCCCCCCTCTCCCGATTCCTAGCAACCCCACGGTTTTGGGGGGCCTCTGTGGGGTTCTCAATGGCTGAGTTGTCAGAGGGGAGGCCACTAGACCTTCCTTCCAAGGCACCTTGGGTGGACTGCCAACCCTCTGGTTAGTGTGACCTGACTGCTCTGGGTAAAGGTGGTTCCCTCTTAGAGTCCTGCTTGTGGGCATAGGGGAAGGTCACAGAGACCGCTGACCACTGAACAGCTTTGTCCTCCCCTCCCCTGCTGGTCCCCACCCCCATCCCTCCTCCACCTTCCCCCCATTCTGAATACTACTAAGGGACTGGAGAAACATTTGCTGGATTTTTTTTTTTTTTATGGCTTGTGAGGTAGTGAGCTCCCTGGCATGTTTACACACACAGAGGGCTGTTCTCACAACAGCAGGGACTTTGAGTCACAGACATTGGGCCTTGGCATGCCGTGTCTCTCAGGCTCCCTGTTGTCCACAGGACAAAGTCTCACTCTTTGGTTGTGGAATGCTGGGGGCAGCCAGGGAAAACACGGTCTCTCCCTCCTGCTGCTGTGGCTCCCATCCCTCCATCATGCCCTGCCTCAGGGCCTTTGCCCTGGTGGATATTCCCTCTGCCCTGCTCCCCCAGCTTCAGGTAGGGGCTCCCTCCCCTTCTTCAGGTCAGAGAAGCGGCCCTGACACCCTTCTCAGGGACCTCTGTGAAGTTGCACCTGGGCACGCCCATGTTTGGAGGGGCCAGTGGTGTGAGCCACGCCCACCACAGAGAGTCAAAGGGAGTGCAGTCCGATAAATCAAAGGGAAGATCCCGTTCCCTCACGGCACATACCTTCCAGGTGTCCACAACCACTCAGGGCATCACCTCTGTAGAAAGTTCTATTGGGTCTAGACTAGCCACTTAGGGTCCCCATCTCACCGGCCTGCTGTAAATATTTGCAGACTGAGCCACAGCCCCCGCCCAAACCCAATCTTGGCACTGCTGTGTCACCTGGACAAGGCACTGCACCTCTCTGAGTCTCCGGGAGCCACCTCCTGCCTAGTAGGGCTGTGGAGAGGGTCTGCTAGCGGAAGTGACTGGCCATGGCTCGGGCCAGTAGGCGTGCCTGTGAACACGAGCTTCCTTCTATTCCGAGGCCCGCCGTTGGAAGCACCAGTCATCTTTATGGCCCTAGCACGTGCCAGGTGGCTTCTCTGCCAAGCAGGCATCTCACTGCCCCTGCCATGATTCCCACTCATAGTGACCCTGGGACACAAGAGTAGAACTGCCCTGTGGGTTTCCGCGGCTGTAACTCCCTCTTCCATACTTTGAAGGTGTTGTCAGGAGAGACCAGGCCCCGGAGAAGGCCATCGCCATGGTGAAGTGGAGGGGCAGCGAAGAGGAAGGCCTCAATAGATAGATTGATTGACACCTTGCCTGTGACAATGGGCTCGGGCTAGGGCACATGGTGGAAGGGTGCAGGACCACACAGGGCTTCGGTCTGTTGTGCAGAGGGTGGCTAGGGCTGGTAGCACCTAACAATAACCACTCTTTACAGAAATAGGCCGACAGCCTTCGCTTTCTCCCATGGCGCAACAACGCTCTAGGGGAATAGACAGCCTCGTTTTCCTCCCACTGGGAGCAGCTTTCTCCGGGTTCCTTACCAATCCCACATGGGAGGGGCTTATTCTCCTCAGCTAAAGGACTCAATAAGGTCCCCTAGTGGTGCGGTGGTTAAGCTCTGAGCTACTAACCAAAAGGTCCCTGGTTCCAACCCATTAGCCACTCCTCGGTAGAAAAGATTTGGTGAGCTGGTCCTATAAACACTCACAGCCTTGGTGCCCTGGTGGTGTAGAGGTTAGGCCTTGGGCTGCTAACCACAGGGTCCAAAGCTCAAGACCACCAGTCACTCCACAGAAGAAACGCCAGGCTTCCTACTTTTGTAAAGAGTTACAATCAGGGAGGGGGGTGGGGGGAATGAGGAGCTGATATCAAGGGCTCAAGTAGAAAGTGAATGTTTTGAGAATGATGATGGCAACAAATGTACAAGTGTGCTTGACCCAATGGATGGATGGATGGGTTGTGATGAGAGTTGTACGAGCCCCCAATAAAATGATTAAAAAATAATTTTTTTAAAAAGTTACAGTCTTAGAAACCCACAGGGGCAGTGCTACCCTGCCCTGCAGGGCCACGAAGAGTTGGAATCAACTCAATGGCAGTGTTTGGTGTTGGAAACTCTAGGTGGGAAGTTCTTTGTGCCGTAGGGTTGATATGGGTTGGACAGGTCTCACAGCAGGGGGTGTGGGTGGCCCAGAAAGTCAGCAGCAGAGTTGGGGTTGGACCGCAGCTGTCGGCAGGGGGCATGGGAATGTGTGTTGAACCCCATTTCCTGTGCATCTGGGCCGGGGCTGGGCTGAGTTGGGGATGGTTTCAGCATTAAAAAACAACCACGCTGCCAGCAAGTCGACTCCAACCCCGGCCCCGCTGCATTTCCGAGACTCAATCTTGGATGGAGGCAGAAAGCCTCCTTATCCTCCCAGGGAGCAGTGGGTGGTTTCAAACCACTGACCTTGCGGGTCTCAGCCCAACGTGGGACCCCACTATGCCATCACAATGGGGCGGCCAGGAGTCGGACTCCACTCAGTGGGCGCAAGACAATGGTGTTTCTGGAGGCAGGCCGCCAGGGCTTTCTTCTGTGGCACCCATGGGTGGGCTCAGACTGCCTGAGTGCCTCAGAGTTGTGTGTGTACTGTTAGCACTCCCCAGGGACTTCCTTGTGTACTTACCAGTACAGGTTCTGGGGGTTCAGCCATGGGTGAAGTGTCCCCAAATCTTGGACTTAGGGGAGCTCCCACAGAGTAGAAAAGAGGTCCAATAAGGGGACCTCCCAGACTTTGCTGGTCTCATCAAAACCCTTCCCACAGCCGGAGGAGGGAATTTACTATTCCTGTTCCATGTGACAGATGAGGGAAACTGAGGCGCGGGAAATGAGGTAGTTTCTCTGGTGTGTGCTCTGGGCTCATGCTCCTGGTAAAGGGGGAGGTGGGATTCAAGCACCTCTGCCGCCTGTACCCCATGGCAGCATGAGCATAAGTTTGGGGCACCCACCCCGGTCCTATGGGGCAGTGGCAGTCCCCCAGGGAGATGAGGTTGAAACGCAAGCCTGAGGGTCAGCGGTGACACTGAGGAAAGGAAGGTGTCTCCCACCTGCCACACGGAGAGAATGGGGTGGGGGAGCTGAGTAGGGGGGCAGAGGAGGCCAGCGCCTCAGTGTAAGCCTGGTGTGTTTGGGGAAGTGCTTAAGGAGTGGCAGGGCCAGCAGGAGGCGAAGGGGTGGCCACAGGGCTGGGAGCCATGAAAAGCCAGGACAACGGACAAGCAGGTGAAGGTCCGGATGGACTGAAGGGAGGGGCAAGAAGCGGGAAGGCAGGAAAGAGACTGAGAAGAGGCATCGAGCCACAACAAAAAGCCAGGCCTGACAGGGGGCTGTGGGGACAGGAAGGAGGTAGGGGGGCACTTGGGGAGCAGAGTGAGGGGTGGAGACTGAGGCAGGAACACCCAGACTTAAAGAGGCTGCAGCAGCAGCGTGGCTTTGCAGGGCGGGATGGGGTGCAAAGGGGCCATTTTCTTGAGACCCAGCTCCTTTGTCCCCTCAGAAGCCTACAGCACCCCAACATCCTCCAGTGCCTGGGCCTGTGCGTGGAGACCCTGCCCTTTCTGCTGATCATGGAGTTCTGTCAGCTGGTGAGAGGCTGGGGGTTGGGGGGTAGGGGCTGGGCCTGTTGGGGATGGGTGGAGTGAGAGGGGCCCCGACTGAGCCAGGATCCCAGGATCTTGGGAGGGAGTCACACCCTCCTCTCACTCCTGGGGACAGATGTGGGTGACACCCACCAGCACTGAGCATGACCTGTGTACATACAGTACAAGTTCCTGGAAAAATCCGGTTCTCCATCTGTTTTGGGAAGCCGGCTAGCACATATCGCTAACGGTGGGGTTCCCTGCCCTAGCTGGAATTGTGGGTTCGCTAACTAACTGGGGAAACTGAGGCTCAGAAGGGCTGCTAGTCATCCACCGCAGTCTCCAGTGGGCTGAAGGGGTGGGGGCTTGGGAGTGGCTTGAGGTGCTGAGCCTCCCCGCCTCCTCACCAGGGGGACCTGAAGCGGTACCTGCGGGCCCAGCGGCCCCCCGAGGGCCTATCTCCTGAGCTGCCCCCTCGAGACATGCGGACACTGCAGAGGATGGGTCTGGAGATCGCCCGCGGGCTGGCACACCTCCACTCCCACAACTATGTGCACAGGTGGGCCTGAGGGCGGGACGGGGAGGAGTCAGGAGTGGAGGTGTGGCCGTGATGGGAAAGCTGAGACGGGAAAGTCTGTATAAGAGGCAGAGTCCGGAGGGGAACAGAGGGAAGGAGTTAAGCAAGAAAAAGAGGGTGGAGCCATGGGAGGGGAGGGGCTAAGGGATATAGGCGGGGCCAGAAATGCACAGGAGGATCCAGGAGACATGGGTGGGGTCAGGGGAGGGGGGAAGAGTCAAATGCGGAGGGAGGGGTCAGGTAGTGAGGGGTGGGGCCAGGAAATAGGGGAAGAGCCAAGATGAGGGGTGGAGTCAGAGGAGGAGCAGAAGGAGATTAAAACCACACCCACTCCCCATTGGTGGCAGCGAGTGGACGCAGACTCACAGTGACCCTACAGGCCGAATAGAACTGCTCCGTAGAGTTTTTAAGACCAACTCTTTATGGGAGCAGCCAGCCTCATCTTTCTCCCGTGGAGTGGTTGGTGGGTTTGAACCACGGACTTCGAGGGTGGTACCCATGGCACTATCAGGGGTTCTTAGAGGAGGAGGACGGAAGGAGACACGGGCAGGTGTTTGAAGCTGGCAGGTTGGCAGGGCTGTGCCCCTGCCCTGTTCTTACCACCCCATCCCCCCCACCCACCCCGCTCCACCCTGTCTGCCCCCAGCGACCTGGCCCTTCGTAACTGCCTGCTCACCTCCGACCTCACCGTGCGCATCGGAGACTACGGGCTTGCCCACAGCAACTACAAGGTGGGAGCTGCCCGCGGTCGGGGCGGGGGGCTGCGGGGGCCCCAGCCGCCTGACTGCGCCCCGCCCTCCAGGAGGACTACTACCTGACCCCGGAGCGCCTGTGGATCCCCCTGCGCTGGGCGGCACCCGAGCTCCTCGGGGAACTGCAGGGGACCTTCATGGTGGTGGATCAGAGCCGCGAGAGCAACATCTGGTGAGGGGACCCTGGCCACCGGGCGGGTGGGCGGCGGGCAGGGTCAAGGCCGGCTGGGGCTCTGACCCTTCTCCGCCCCACCCTTCTCCGCAGGTCCCTGGGAGTGACCCTGTGGGAGCTGTTTGAGTTTGGGGCGCAACCCTACCGCCACCTGTCAGACGAAGAGGTCTTGGCCTTCGTGGTCCGCCAGCAGCACGTCAAGCTGGCGCAGCCGCGGCTCAAGCTGCCCTACGCCGACTACTGGTGAGGGGCGCCCCTTTCCCCTGCCCTGGCCCCCAGACTCTCACTCCTTCCCTGAAAGCCCTCATGGCATCTTGGGATTCAGAAGGAAACAGGCCGGGAGGGACCGGGCTGGCCTCTGACCTCTAGTTTTGCTAACCCTGAAAGGTGGTTTCCTCCTTCGGTCAGAACTCGTGGCCTGAACCCGAGGGCACCGCCTTACCCATCAGGGCCTGACTGCCAGCCCTCTGTCCCCACTCTCTCTGGGTCTCCCCCCTCCTTCTCTCTAGGCTTCAGTCCTCCCCCCAGTCCCTGCTGCACTCATACCCGCCCCTCCCCCAGGTACGACATCCTTCAGTCCTGTTGGCGGCCACCTGCCCAGCGCCCCTCGGCCTCTGACCTCCAACTGCAGCTCACCTACCTGCTCTCCGAGCGGCCCCCGCGGCCTCCTCCACCCCCACCCCCACCCCGAGATGGTCCCCTCCCCTGGCCCTGGCCCCCAACGCACACTGCGCCGCGCCCAGGGACCCTGTCCTCCCCCTTCCCCCTCCTGGATGGCTTCCCCGGGACTGACCCCGACGACGTGCTAACGGTGACAGAGAGCAGCCGGGGCCTCAACCTGGAGTGCCTGTGGGAGAAGGTGCGGCGGGGGGCTGGCCGGGGCGGGGGCACTCCCCCCTGGCAGCCGGCCTCTGCGCCGCCGGCGCCCCACGCCAATCCCTCGAACCCCTTCTACGAGGCCCTGTCCACGCCCAGCGTGCTGCCCGTCATCAGTGCGCGGAGCCCCTCTGTGGGCAGCGAGTACTACATTCGCCTGGAGGAGCATGGCTCCCCGCCCGAGCCCCTCTTCCCCAACGACTGGGACCCCCTGGACCCAGGAGTGCCCACCCCTCAGCCCCCCCAGGTCCCCTCCGAGGTACCCCAGCTGGTGTCCGAGACCTGGGCCTCGCCCCTCTTCCCGGCACCCCGGTCCTTCCCGGCCCAGGCCTCAGCCGCTGGCGGCTTCCTTCTAAGTGGCTGGGACCCCGAGGGCCGGGGTGCTGGGGAGACCCTGGCCGGGGACCCTGCCGAGGTGCTGGGGGAGCGGGGAGGCACCCCGTGGGCCGAGGAGGAGGAGG